CTTCTCCTTCTCCTTCTCCTTCTCCTTCTCCTTCTCCTTCTCCTTCTTCTTCTTCTTCTTCTTCGCTAGGCAATGGGGTTAAGTGACTTGCCCAGGGTCACACAGCTAACAAATGCCAAGTGCCTGAGGCAGGATTTGAACTCAGGTCCTCCTGACTCCAGGGCCAGTGCTCTATCTACTGTGCCACCTAGCTGCCTTGCAAAACTTCTTTTTTAATATAATTTTACAGCATTCACTTTGATTTTTTTGTTCTTTCCATTTCTACTGTTGTACTCCTTGTGTGTATTGTTTTCCCTGGATCTTTTTATTTCATTCTACATCACTGCCTATAAATTTTTCATATTTCTTTGAATTCCTTATATTCATACTTTCTTACCATGTAATAGTAACCTATTAATTTCATGTGTCACAATTTGTTTAGCCATTCCTTAATTGATGAACTAAACATCAATGTCTTTTGGTTCTTTGCTAAACGGTTTTTATTTATGTGTATTTTATGACATAAAAACTTACTTATTATTTTTAATAAGATTATATTTTAAAATATTACTTCTCATTTCTATTTACAGGCCACAGAAACATTGTTTAGAATGGGAGTAGCAAGAGGAACCATTACAACTTTGAGAAATGGAGAAGTGAGTTCAAAATATTGTTTTACTTTGAAATTCTCAGTTTGTTAGATAGCATTTTCTTTCTTTGATCAATAGTGTGTTGTGTCATGATTTCTTGGATTATACAATGCAATATGTCCCCTCTTTGACAAAGAACAGAAACCAAGGTACTTTGTAAAAATTTGTAAATGTACATAATTTTTACATGTATGCTTTTAAATTAGTTTTATTGGTGCCTTTTTTTCTTTACACCAACCTAATTTCAGCCCCAGATTGGTTCTTCCTTTGTGACAGATAAAAAGTTAAACATAGTACCTGATATTTGATGGCGTATACAGTATTCTACCCTGTTAGTCTCCTTCTACCCCTCTTTTCCTGAGTAGGGAAGAAGAAAGAAGATATATATTTCATTGAATTTTCAGTTATTCAGTTTGACTTTCTTTTAGGAATTTTTCATTTACATTTTTGTCTGCATATATATTATTTTCTTAGTTCTAAGTTTGCTGTGCTTCGGTTCTTACAAATCTCATATTTCTCTGAGTTACTCATCTTTGACCATTTCTTAAGACATAATAAGACTATATTATTACATTTACCTTAGTTTTTTCAGCCATTTTTTTATTGCAAAAACTGTTGCTATGAGTATTTTGATATATATTAGACCTTTATTAGACCTTTTTTTCTTTGTTTTCCTTAAAGTATATGTCTGGTAGTGGGATTGATAGAATGAAAAAGATAGATAGTTTAGTCATTTTGCTTGCAAAGCTCCAAATTAAAATCCAGAATGGCTCAACCCTTAAATGGATTGATCCAGAACTATGTTAGTTTGCCTGGTAGAGGTGGAGGTAGCTCCTCCTAAGGATAGCTCTTTCAATAGTGACCATTCCCATCTTTTATGTATAATACGTGTGTCTGTATGCATATCTGCCAAAGTAATATTCCTGAAGTGTATATCCGACTCTGCCACTCCCTTGCTTCACAAACTCCATTCCCTCCTTATTACCTGTAGGGCTAAACAGAAAGCCCTTGGTTTGGCATTTAAAACTTTTCATAGCCTATCTTTAATCTGTCTTTGCATCTAGATTAGATCTTACTCCCTTCCATGTACTCTTCTGTCCAGCTGAGGTGGCCTTCTTGCTGTTCCTTCCCTACGCTACTACATCTCCCATTCCCATGCCTTTCCACAGGCTCTCTTCTATGCCTTGAATGTAATCTCTTCTTACCTTGCCTCTTAGAATTCCTACTTTTCCTTCAAAATTCAGCTTAAACATCATCTCTGACATATGACCTTTCCTAATTACCCTGACTACTAGTTCATCTCCTCTATTTACCTTGTATTTATTTTGTATATATTTGAATACTTTTTTGTTTATTTTTGTATGTGTACATATTGTCTGTTGTGAAATGTTATCATGTTGAGCGTGAGCATTGTTTCATTTTGTCTTTTTTAGTCTTAGAACTTAGTATGGTTTTTGGCATGTAGTAGACACTTAATAAATGCTTATTGATCGATTAGTACTATATGTATACATGCTATGGAAATATATATTATGTATGTATGTGTATATATGTATATATTAATTTAATTAGTGTTATTAGAGTTTCTAAAGTGTGTCTTGTCTTGTCAGAAGTGATATATAGTGATTAAATTAATGGTTTTCCTAGGAGGAAGTCATAGACTAGTTGTAATTAGGAAACAATTCTTCTTCCTTAGCTCTGCTTTCTGATGTACCTTACTTCTTCAAAGCATAGCCCAAATCTTGTCTTGTGTTTTCCTCATGTTTCTCTCACTCCCCTAAATGCCTTTCCTCTGAGATTATCTCCAGCTTTCCATACGTGTATATGTTGTGTATATATAGTTGTTTGCATGTTATCTCCCCCATTAGAATCGTGTATTTGAGGACAGGGACCATTTTCCCCTTTGTATTCTCAGTGCTTATTTAGTCCAGCATCTAGCATATGATAAGCACTTAATAAATGCTTGTTGACTTGCGAAGTAACCAAAACATACATGATAGTATAGTATAAATTATAAAGGTCAGGGTGGCAAAAACAGAACAAGAATACAATCGGAGTGGAATTGAATAGATCAAGAAAGGCTTCTTGGAACATTCTGAGTCTTGAATGAATAATTACTATGAGAAAAATGTTAAGTATCTTATATAATGAGTTCCAAAGGGTCCACTTTAAGAAATTACTGTCCTTAAAAGGCAGGGACTGGCTTATTTTGACTTAATGAACAATATTAATAGCTTCTGTTATGTAGACTTTACAGTTTGTACTATAATATAAATATTTGCTTTAGTGATATATAGATAGATAGATAGATAGATAGATAGATAGATAGATAGATAGATAGAGCATTTATTCTGCATTTACTACAAGCACTTACTATGTGCCAGGCACTGCACTAAGTTTTGGGATACAAAATACAAATAAAGCAGGATAGTTCTGGCCATATAGGAGTTACATGTTCTAATGATGAAAGACATATAAAGAGCTTTCAGAAAGGGATGGGAGAAAGGTTCCTGCAAGACAAGTACAATGTGGAGAAGTTTAGGTAGTTTCATGAAGTCCTGGGGTCCTAGGAAGATAAGAATCTCCTATTTGAGAAGAGGGAGACCAGGTTTCTCATGGGATGAAATTACTTACAAAGTAGGGACACTGTCAGCCCTGAGAAGTTACATCAGAATGAAGCCTAAAGGACAGATTTTGAAAGCCCTTGAGGAAGTTTTTCTTGTAATTTTTTTTCTACTTTCAGTGAGTTTCTATAGATTGATAGAAAGCAGGATAGATTACTTTTCATAATTGTCTTTTTTAATATTTTATTGATGCCTTCTATTATTAGTTCCTTCCAATACCTCCTCCTGTCTCTACAACATTCATGTACTTTGTAACAGAAAGACTCAGATACACAAAACCAGCAGAGAAAGTGATCACCTTATACCACTTGCAGCATTCTGCTTCCATAGTAAAGCATCAGTCTACAGAGAGTGGGGAAGTATGCATCATCTTTCTTCCTCCGGATTCAGCTTTGGTTATTTATTTTATTATAGTCATTTATATTTTCCTCTGCATTTTTTAAAAAAAGCTTTGCATCAGTTTCTATGTTCTTCTGAATTTGTTCGTGTTTAACATTTCTGGTGGTAAATGGTAATCCTCTGTTACATTAATATAATACAGTTTATTGAGCCATTTTTCAACCTTTTTTTCCCCTAATTTTTTTGCTTTTACTAGAAGTGCTGATAAATATTTTGGAAGATATTTTTCTGCCTTTAACCTCCTTGAGATAAATACCTAGTAGTGGAGTTTCTGGGTTAGAGAAAAAGAACAATGTAATTAATTTTTTTTTGTGCCCAATTCTCATTATTTTTCAGACAGTTTGGACCATTTTATAGTTCTGCTAACAGTATATAAAAGTGCCTCTCATTTTATAGCTTGTCAGCATTGAAAATTTCCTTTTCTTTTATCATCTTTGCCAGTTTGATGACTGAGGTGATTCCCTAGTTATTTTAATTTAAATTATTTATTATTTGTGATTTAGATAATTTTTCTATGGTTGTTGAGGTATAGTGTTCACTAGTACATTTCTTTTTAAAATTCTTCATATTCTAAGTCTCATACCATATTTCTTTATACCTTTATATATCTTGGACATTTTTTTATTAGAAATATTTCATCTAAATACTTCCTCTGCACTTGACAACGTCTCTTTTCTAATTGTTTCAGCAAAGAATATTTAATAAGTACATAGCTACTTATTTTTATCTATCATGTCTTCCTTCTTTCCTTCTTTCTTTCCTTCCTTCCTTCTCTAGTATAGTACCTGTACTAGCCACTTAACACTTACTCAAACAAATATTGTTAAAACAGATTTTTAAAAAATAATACATATATTACAGTCTTACTCTTCCTTGCCCCACAGTCATAGGGAGTATTAAACTTTCAAAAAATAAAATAATAATGATGTTATATTAATGTAAAATCCAAGAATAGTACTGCCTAGCACAGTTTCAACAATCATTGCCTTCTCACATCAAATAAAATGAACAAATATATATTGAATGCCATTGAAGATGATGTTTACATATAATCAAGTAGGCTAATATATTATCTTGTGACCTATTAGAGTTGAAAATAAAAAAAACAAGATTTATAAATAATTTTGATATGAACAGTAATACTGTTATCTCTGTGTTTTGGTAAACAGAAACTAACAGTGCCCTCTTCAGTCTAGTACTTGTATGACATCATACCACGCAAATAGATCATTTAATCAATAACATCCCTTTTTATATAAAAGGAAGGTGCCGTCACATTGAGAAAACAAACATACCAAAGAAAATATTTAGATTTATATTATAAAATGGATAATTCAATATTTTCTGTTGATGCAGTTGTCGTGGTGATTAAATGCTTCAGTTAGTAAAAAAATCCTTGCAAGTATGACCAACTGCTGGCCTCTCAATATTCAGATTTGGGAACTTTCTTTGCTTATATCTTGTCTTACAGATGCAGATGATTTTTTCCTCCTTCAGATTCAGTTTTTGAATGATAATAAATCAGAGCACTTTGGAGTTAAAAGGTTCCTTTATCATTTTAAAGATAAGAAAACTGATACTTCCCACTTTACAAAGCTACCTAGCATTGCAGCCAGGATTTCCATTAACACCCTTGAATCCAGCTCTCTGGACTCCTCCTCCTTTACCTTTTGAAATGACTTAACTTTTGAATAACTTAGAATCTGGATTAGGAGCCTTTAAGTAGAATTTAAAAACTGATTGCTTGGAGTTCATGTTTTTATAGAAGGAATACTGCCTTATATGGTTTAAAGTTAAAATTATGATTATTACTTGCTTGGATTTTTTAAAATTACTACAGATTGTGAATTAAGAGTTAACTACTGGGTTTAATTCTATATAACAGAGTGACTGTCCAAAGCAAACAACGTAATTCTGGGTGAAAACACAGTAACAGCAGATTTTTAGTTTTGGACTTTTAAAGCATTTTATATATATATAGGC